TGAGCCACCCCCAGAAGTAACTCGAGGTGATCGAGTACAGGAAGCATAACGTTCTCCAGCTCTTCTGTAAACCTTATTTCGGCCATATTTTCTATATATGCACATTCTACGCTCATCCGTAAACAGTACATTTTTTCAATCGTTCACTGTCAAATTCATATGGTCGCGAGCAAAAGCAAGTCTGCGTCTTTTGTGTGCTGCAGTAAGCGAGGGTCCTGTAGCTGGACTGCAAGCTGTCAAACCACTTTTTCTTAACCTTCGTCGGACAGTAGAAGTGCTGACTGCTGTTCCATGAGCTTGCTGAAGACCACTTTGGAGCATTCTATCGGTTTTCGTTCGGTCTCGTAAAACAGCAATGGTGAGAAAGCGATCCTCCCTGGCTGTTGTTTTTTTTAGCACCCGTACCGGGTCGTCGGTGATAAGAGCCGATCGCAAGAAACCGTTGGTGTGTTCTTTGCACAGTCGAACGACTGACATTTAATTATCTCGCCAATCTCGCCACATCCCGTTGACTTGGTCCATTTTACAGTAATATTACAATCTGAATAGCTCTTCGATATTTTTCGTCCTTTATTAAGGATTACGTTTTACACTACGAAGGCCAGTGTCACTTTCATGAAACTTGATTGACGGGTAAAAAAGTATTCTGAGATAAGGTTTTTGATTAACTCGGTTCCGAAAATTTCTTTATGATCTGTACAGGATCGGCATGGCTTCGCGAGTACGCAAACTAACCCGTTTTACGTAATTAAAAAATAAGGAACTTAACAAGATAGATAATTTCGTAATTTTTTTTGGGTGGCCCGTTTTCTCTGACGCGCAGAGTAGATGAATTAAATAAAAAAATATTTTAAACCGATTTCCGGTTTGTTCAAAATTTATTTTGAGGCAATGTTAGATAGAAAAAGAAAGAAAACATGTTCTAACACTGTATTTAGTATCTTAAATGATGTAATTAATTTCAGGTGGTGATTCCTTGTAATATTTTATGAAAAAAAAAGTTCATATAAACATGTGTGCTTACTTTTGCTTCGTTTGTCTTTCCACTGATTTTGATGAAACTTGGTGCGTTTGTTAGCAGTAACAAGTAGATTATGGATTATAATTCCAGCGGCGTCGCAGAAGGTTACCTAATTGCAGTAGCGGTTTGACCGTATAAGCACTTGGGCACGTGCTCTAGTATAATAAACCAAAAAAAAATAACTTACATATTTTAAATTTTCCTCAATGCCTATTATTATTTTATCTAATATTCAGAGCAAACCGCGTTGGCACGACACTGGACGACCGGGCGTTGAGCGACGTTCCGAGAATTCCGAAATTAAGTGAAAGATGGGCACAGGGCACAGTAAATGTGTGCCTCTGTGTTTTCTCTCTCATTATGATGCGAAAAACAAGAACAACGACAACATCGCTTAGCAAGAGATGAACACATGCGATGGATTATACGTCACAAGCGGGGCGCTGTCCTCATCGTGACGTGCTGTACCCATGGCACATATTATTTAGACCAGATACGAATGTACCCAGCTGCATCTTTACCGGCTCCCTCACAAAGGCGATGCCAATTTCGGCTTAAGGTGCGTGTGTGTTGGACCATGATAATAATTTATTTATTGTAATTACGAAAAAAACGTTAGTTGGACCATTGGAATAGTTAAGAAATAAAACTACAAAGAAAAATAACTTTTTTTTTATAAAGCTGTCAAAAATATGATGAAAAAAAATCAATAATATTTATAAATGGGATGTTAAAGCTGTTTGTAGTTTATTTCCAAACGAAAACAGCTTAAAATTCAAAAACGAACTGTCCATACTTTACGCCCGAGATGACTTTGTGCAACACAATGGGGCCGTAACGTTATTACAAATGTTTTTTGAGAACAGTTTGACAATTACATTTTCGGAATATGTGGAGCTGCTAACTATCCTGTGTACAATTCCCATGACCACAGTGGAGCCTGAAAGATGTCTTTCGACACTAAAACGTATTAAAACATTTTTAAGGAACACTATGTGCCAAGATAGATTGTGCGCGTTAGCCATGTTATCCATCGAAAAAAAAAACTTATTCGGTCCATTCCAAATTTTAATAATCTGGTCATCGTTCACTTCGCTAGCCAAAAATCTAGAAGAATGGACTTCAACTATAAGAAATAGTATACAACTGCAGCGGTACCTAACAGTTAGTCTTCAATTTTGTAATATTTAATTTGTTTTGAAATATATTTAATTTTCATTAAGCGGAGAACTTGTTTTCCTAAGGGAAAAACGAACACCGGGATTCCTTTCCAGTGGGTTCCCCACTGCCGCTAGTGCCCACGAGCCGCCACTGGAGCATATACTTAATTTAGTTGCTGTGTACTAATACAAGAGTTTGTACTGCATCAGCTTTTTTAATTCCCTGGAAGTCTTATACATCCATTTTGTACAACTTGGAAACAATTCCTTACTTTAAAAAAGTGAATGAAACTGTTGGTATTAAATCTAGTCTAGAGATATCTTGAGTACAATCAAAAAATAGGAACCAGTTTAATGGTCTTTGGAATGAACTCGAAAAATTTGCTAAAAATCTCTGGAACCTACTAAAATCTATATTTCTACTTTTCGATTCAGTTTTCCGTACGAAAAAAACAAACCGACGTTGTTTTTACATATTGGATAAAAACAAGTATTGTTTTTTTAAATTTTCATTAATTCGTGATTAATATGATTTTTAACTTTAAAAAGTACTTAATAAGGCTAATTATCAGATATATGTAGGTATAATACATAAATTTATAAAACAAAAACAAATGTGTACCTATAAATAACGTTCAAATTGCTGAAAATTTTATATTTAAAAATGAACTGTTTAAGTTTCTTGGTTATTATAAGTGGTGTTATCTATTTAACTGCTGGATATGAGCTAGGTAAGCATTTAATATTTCTTCTGTTAGTATAGGAATAACACCGAACATTGTTGAAGATTCTAAATGAATTTTTATATTAGCTAAAATTTGAGCAAATTAAGCTTATTCTATACCGGATTTTTTTTGATAGGATGTTAATGAATTCAAAAAAATAGTTTAGCAATACTAATAGTACACGGAGAAATTGAGTAGGTATGTAAATTATACAGTGTGCTTACTTAACCCTTAACTGGTGACGTGGTTTATTTAGGGGGGTGCCAGTGCAAAAACACTGACAAGGACCCCTTATTTAACTAGGGTTGGCAAATTTGCGGAAAATAGCGAGGCATTTTTATAAAAAATCAAGTTCTTTCTGTGTTAAATTTTTTTCTAAAAAAAAAAAATCCTTATCTTGTTTTTTCCTAAATCAGGTCCTCCCTTTTGTATCGAACTTCTAAAAAAAGGCCTCAACTGCTAAAGGTGCCGGGCCCCGGGGATTTTGTGCCCTTTCTCGTTGGGACTGCGTTTATCTGTAACGTAACTGGTGACGTGGGTGCCCCGAGTACCCCAGAAAAAATCCCCAATAAACAGAAGAAAAAAACAAGTAATTCGTAATTTTTTGAGACTTTTTCATTATTCATCCTCTGTTAGTTAACATATTATAAATTTAGTAACCTTTTATAAAACTAAGAAAAAAATATAAGTATTTTGTAAAGGTTATCGTTTTATTAAAAAAGAAATTTAAAAAGACATTCATAGAAATATAAAACGTACAAAAAAATAAAAATTATTATCTTACTTTAAAAAAGTAAGAAAAAACCTTTGATGGAAAATTACATGTGAACATTCTAATTATTAACGCAATCTCGGCAATTTTTTTTTTGTACAATTCGTACATATTGCTACATTAGATAATTTACATAATGTCCTTCTCTTTTTATTAGTTCCTGTAGGACATTTTCCGCAACGTCTTCTTTTTTTTTGGTGACTTCCGCGGCTTCGTTTCTAATTTCAGTTAGAGGTTTCTGTAATATTCTGCTAAAAAAAAGTCGTAATTCTGGTGTAGACTTGAGTTTCGAAGGCTTCTGTTGAGATGTTCTTCAACCAATTGAAACGACATTCTTTTTATGCTATCATTACTTCTAAAACAACCATACAGTATATACACGTTTCTTCTACTAGTGCTGTAGAACAACGCTGGTCTAGACTATCAACGCCACCCTTAGTCAAATTATAGAACGCTTTAATATCTGGTTTTTGGGTGTCTTGATCAGTGTTGATGGTGTGGTGTATAGACGATATCATGATAGTTGCTTTCCGTTTTTTTTTGGAACATACGACAATAAGGTCATATCAGCAGTAAATCCATGTAGAGAAGACTATTCTGTTCTGGCTGTATTGGGTTGAAACTCTGGTGATATCATTTGTTTATTATTTTTAACTGTCCCAACGTATGTAAAATTATGTGTTTTTAGAGACTAAACCGATTCATAGGATGAAAACTAATTATCGGCAGTAACGTTTCTATTAGTTCCGTAATTTTTTTTTGCATAATCGTAACACTGATTGCGTTGGCACAACTAATTTTTCTCGGCCATCATTGTTTTTTCCAGTATATATGTATGCATTATACAAATATGACGTTCGTGCGTCAGCTAAGATGATAATTTGTAACCTGTACTTATTCGGTTTATTGGACATATATGTTACGGGCAGTATTGTAAATTGGGCATTGATAATATTGACCGGACACTAACGTCAGCAGCCATATTTGCTGGCCAATATCGTTATTATCTTGGCAGTAACAACAATGCCCATTAATCGTGGACAATGTTGATAATATTTTTTGTTTGCATCTTTGTCTGGTTATTATCAACATCGACCATCAATAAGTGGACAATGTTGAAAATATATTATTTTTGTTCTTTATCCGGAAATTAATGACATTGACTATTAATAAGTGGGCGAAGTTGATTTTAAAGAATTAAGTTGGTACTGTGACTTAAAATTTTTGACAGTAACTAGCAGTACATTAGATGTACGCGCTTTATTTGTACATCGGTCTCCTTTTGACAGAGTAGGTGAGCTGTGTTCAGGCCGTTGGTGGTTATGCCGGTCGGCGTAGCCAGGTATGGATTAAAATTTTCTGGTGGCGGCGAAGCCGTCACCCTACGAGAACTCGTTGCTTCGTCTTCTTGTTGTCACGGCATTATTATTATTATTATTTGTTCACGTATGTGAAATTTGCTTCTAAGGTTTATAAAATACTACAGAAAAATACTTAAGTCTTTTACTCCATCATCTGAAATAAAGTTAAGTTAGAATTATAATGTACAAATATTGGGGGATACTTCCGATGTACAAATAATTCGTGTACATCCGATGTACTGCTAGTCAAGGCGAACATTTTTATTTTCAACTTTGGAAATCCAATCAATCGCCCGCGCGGAAAGCTAGAGAAAAGCGATGTAAACAAAAACATAACCCTGTTTTTTATTTAAATCCAAATCGTTGCGGTTTGCGGCCCACACATAAGTGGGCGCTAACGATAACGCCCGGGCAAGGTCGTAAAAAAGCTGTCATTTATAGTGTATCAACGTTGTCCAATTTAAGCGGATGTTTACGTTATTGGCTGGTTATTATCAATTATGCTCAATCAAATAGAAGATTTACGACAATGACCGGCCAATATCGTTAAAGACCAAAATATCATCATTGACCGTAGGATATACATACGAAACTGGCATTTGCCCCTGAAACCCACCAGCATATTATTAATACACACATAATGGCATAGACAGTAATAGGTACTGCTGTGAATTATTAACAAGTTTGTCGAATAGGCCGGATATCGATGCAGCTTTATCTCGAAGTACTCTCATGATTCTGTCATCAGCATTGTCAAATCTCAAATGAGATAAAACGATCAAAAATCTTTTGAGCGACATTGTGTTTTTAAATATGTCACGATCAGTTCCATCCGTTGCAAACATAGGATCAAAGTGCTCGTAGTTTGGAGCCCGGAGTAATAAAGTAGGCCCAAAAAAGCTTTAAGTTCAACTATATATAATATGTCGTTTATTTCAGGTTTATATTCTCTCTTGTATTTTGTCCGTTTCCTGCTCAATTATTCATTTGTCCTATTTACGATCTCCTCTATCATTTCATCATTAAAAAGTGCTTCCAAATACTATATGAATCTGCATTTTCCAAATTTCTCATGGGTCCCCTTAGTCCTGGAAGGAATCTAACAATATTGTGGGCTTCTGCTCTTTTGTTTCGCGTAGGCTCAAATTGAGACCAGTTTAACCTATTTTTGCCATAATAAGCTCGGTTATTTTCTGAATCTGTAGTTTCTTCTGGTATTCTATCATAATCGCTAGAGTAACTTGTGTTAGCAGCCATATCGTCACTCTGTACGATATCTTCTAAGTTTCTTTCTTCTTTCAAGCAATCACTTTGTTGACCGGGGTCCTATTTATTTGAGCGCCATCTTCATTTTAGATTTCCTCGGACCACCTTAGTAGTGTCCTTTTTGAAAATTTGGGTCTCCATACCGAACTACTTTAGGTTTACTCGACATTAGCAAAAAAAATGCGTCTAGGAATAATGCAGTCTCAGATATTCTCTGGTTTCGCCAGTGACACCACGTCACCAGTAAAGGATTAAGGCCTCGTTTAGGTTTATTTTTCTATTATAAATTTTAATGAAAATTCGAAGACGCTAAATTGAAAAACAATTTGATTTTGAACGGATCTTCACTTGCAAACCCTAGTTATTAAGATCCAATCCATGTTTCCTTTTAAATAGGGTATGCACATATGGTTACAATTTACATAAAAATATTTGAGCCCTTTACTCCTTGTAACTGCCCATCTAAAAAGAGTTTCGCCTTTTACCCCTAAGTATGTCCATTTATACCTTAAGCCTAACTATGTAGAAATATTTGGTCTCTTTAGTAGTTTTGCCTTTACTTAAATATAAAGATATTTGTGCTTTTTACCCTTTAAGCCTGCCTTTGTAAAAATATGTACTCTTTACCTCAGTGGTGACTTGTGGCCTAGTCTACGGGGGCTAATTTTAAAAGTCATTTAAGATATAAAATTTATCAAAAATTACTAAAGCACTAAGTGATTCGATTAGTACTATTCCTTTAATTTAGCATACTCTTTATTAATACTAAGTAGGTACTTTTTTTCTACCCCTTTTCGTCAAAATTATCAATGCTATGTATAAGTAATAGTTTTGATGTATTTATCTTCTAATTCGTTAATTCATTTGTCTAATTTGTTAAAACTCATATCTATTTGTTTTTATTATATGCTTGCCGTGAATATCGTCTTGCGTATGAACCTTTTAAACTTTGAATTTAATATTGCATTTTCAGCCAAAAAAGTCTCTAAAAATAGTTCTTTTTTTTAAATAATTTGTACAAGACAATAAATATACTCAATATTTATACACTATCCACATAGGAACAAACGGTAAAATTTTAGAACCTCTCGTGCACGTAAATATTTCGTATCTGCGCCCTACGTGTGCGAGCGATGTCTCCCGATCTGACCGCTCGAATACGTGACATCAGGGCACTAGGACTTTTAGACTAGCAAGCCAGCAATATCTGCTAATAGAAAATATATTGAATATATTATCATTGAAACAAGTAAAACAAAAGGAAAGGAAAGGTTATAAATAAACGTGAATAATGTAATATATATTTTTTTAAATATTATTTATATCTTAGTCGTCCTAAGTAGGTTAAGTAGAAGTGAGAAAAATAAAAAGTTTGTCAACCACAGGATCTTTGATAGACTTTAGCAAAATGATAAAGCTTGCAGGCGCTTTTGATCTATAAGGTCTTCTTCAGGTAAATTAAATGTTTGAGTACAATTTGCAATAACTTAACATTAGATATCTACATACTAAGTCAACTTGATGTCTTATCACTACATGAAATCCATAAACCTGATCAACAAAATGTAAAATTTATAAAAAAGTTGGAAAAATGTAAAAAATTTAAAAATTTAAAGATATGGCCCAATAGCCTTGAATCATACCTTTGAATTTGGTCTGCCTCGGTCGTACGAAAATGACAAAGAAGTTTAAGTACGTGAGTTAATGGTTCACTATAAGAGTCGTATATTTATTATTAAAATTAAAGCTACTCCGCCTATCCCAAATAAGAAAAGTGTAGGCAGAGTAGAAGTTGTAGTCATATTGCGGATAAAGGAGGTGATAGCTTGGAACTTAAAACATGTTTGTTCGACGACTGCAATAGATAAAGTGTGGAATTAATGATGTTTAAGGATAAGAAATTCAACCATATTTAAAAAGATTAAAGAAAAAAATACCCAAAATTGGATAAGTTTAGCATTACCGGTAAAAGGAACGTCCGTTTCTACCAGGAAATAGGGGAACAATTAGAACGTTGGAAAAAATTTTTTTGATAAAAATTGAAAATAGTTTTAATATGTATATTTTCACTATGATAGCTGACAATCAACTTTTATCAACTGCGTAAAAAAGTTAAGCGACCAATGAAAGGAAAATTGTACACTTAGAGACTGCAGTTATGCTTATTACCTCTTCTATTCATATGAAAAAGTGGCTTCGTCTGAGATTATTAGGTTTAAATTAGACTGAAGTCTAGCCAGACCCAACAATGTTTCTTAAATGAAAAATCTTTGTTCGAATAAATGATTCTCTACTTTTTCGAATATTTATGATTTATGTTTTTTAAATTTAGTCATTTTTAGGAACCGTTGTGCATACAGATTTTTTGTACGTGTTAACTGGAATTTCATTGAGTTTTCATTCTGATTTTACTTTCTGGTTACTTTAATTGATTTTCTATCAACAGATAAGTTCCTATACATTGCCACCTAATTAAAATAAGTGTGATCATTGTTGATCTATTTCACATAAATTATTTGACGTTTCCTAATGTCAGTTTTTTCAAAGCCTCTTTGATAAAACGGTGTCGATTTTAATTTATTAGATATATTTGAAAAAAAGATGCAGTTGATCATAAGAGTATGAGATCAATTATTTAAAGTAAACCATAAAATAAATCCATACAAAATTATAAAAATTACTAAATTTTAAAAGAAAATTCCAACCAACTTATAATTACACGTTTTTGACGTAGGTTCATAAAAATAAATATATATTTCCCCCAAATCTTTAATGAATGACTACAATGTATACAATTCATTCTAAAGAAGTTGAAATTTTTGCTTGTTACAATCATTTTGGACTATTTTATTTAATTTACTTCTTCCTTCTAGTATGGTTTTTATATAAGTTTAAGTTAATATTTCACTGTGTCATTTTCTTTTGGTATCATTTTTTAGGGTAATACTAAAAGTGAAGTTATTTCTTCACAGATTTGTTATTTTTTGGTTAAACACTTTTATCTTCATCATTTGTGGTTTCAGTATCAAAAACTTCTTCTAAGTTGTTTTAAAAATCATTCAAAGTGATTCCTTGCAAAACTTTTAATTTATCCCACTTAATTACCTGGAACTGCTTGTCCAGCTATATGCGTAAGAAAATTCCAAAATGCAAATGTAACGCAGAAAAAACTAGATCCAATCTTCCCCTAACAGTTTTGCTTACAAAAGCTTGCCAAAATGCATTCAGGTCTAATATATCCTTAAAATATTTTTTTGATTGTACCTTTTGGAATTCTTAATACCTCACTGATTTTTTTTTAGAATGTGGATCCTATGAAGTAGTAAATCAATGTGCTTCAAAGTGCGTAGATGAGCCAACATGTCAAAATCCGAATCCTATACAAAAACCTGGCACACCTTGCTTAGCAATATGCGTAAAAAGATGTGAATGTGACGCGAAAAATGGATGGATTCGGTCTTCATCTAACGGAACTTGTATACAAAAATCAACCTGCAAATCAGAACGTATGTACATAAACGCATTATGATAGGAGTGTCAGAGTTGTCTAAGTCTATGATATCCTTTATATATCTCTCAAAGAAGATTAAACCTAAGATTGTGCCTTCTACGTATCTATTCATAAATCTCAGAGAGTAGAAATTTTGAGGAAAAATAAGGCAGAAATACAAATTTTGCGCGTTACTGATAAAAGGCAAAACCCATTTATATTCCCTCGAATTTAAGAATAGCTACCCAGGAGCACTAATAATCAATTTTTTTTAGAATGTGGACCCCATGAAATAGTAAATAAATGTGCTTCGAAGTGTGTAGATGAGCCAACATGTCAAAATCCGAATCCTATACAAAAACCAGGCACACCTTGTTTACTAATATGTGTAAAAAGATGTGAATGTGACGCGAAAAATGGATGGATTCGGTCTTCATCTAACGGAGCTTGTATACAAAAATCAACCTGCAAATCAGAACGTATGTATATAAACGCATTATGATAAGAGTATTACAGTTGTCTAAGTCTATGATATCCTTAATATATCTCTCAAAGAAGAATAAACCTTAGATTGTGCCTTCTGTGTATCTATTCTTAAATCTTAGGGAGTAGAAATTTTGACGAAAGGATGAGACAAGAATACAAATTTTGCACGTTGCTGTAAAAGAGGCAACACTAATTTTTATTCCCTCGAATTCAGGAATAGCTACTCAGTAGTCTTTGATACCCTATGCTATCCTATTAATCAATTTTTTTTAGAATGCGGACCTAATGAAGTAGTAAATAAATGTGCTTCGAAGTGCGTAGATGAGGCAACATGTCAAAATCCGAATCCCATACAAAAACCTGGCACACCTTGCGTACTAATATGTGTAAAAAGATGTGAATGTGACGCGAAAAATGGATGGATTCGGTCTTCACCTAATGGACCTTGTATACAAAAATCAACTTGCAAATCAGAACGTACGTATATTATAAACGCATTATGATAATATATATTAAAGTGATTCAGGTCTATAATTATATCCTTAATATATTTTTTAAAGAGTATTAAACAAACCAGAATTATGCCTTCTGGAGTTACTGATATCCTGTGGTAATTTATTGACATATTTTTTTTAGAATGTGGACCCCATGAAGTAGTAAATCAATGTGCTTCGAAGTGCGTAGATGAGCCAACATGTCAAAATCCGAATCCTATACAAAAACCAGGCACACCTTGCTTACTAGTATGTGTAAAAAGATGTGAATGTGACGCGAAAAATGGATGGATTCGGTCTTCACCTAACGGAACTTGTATACAAAAATCAACTTGCAAATCAGAACGTACGTACCTATATAAAAGCATTATCATACGAGTATCAGAATTGTTTAGGTCTAATATATACCTAATATATTTTTCTAAGAGGATTTAACCAATGATTCTGCCTTTTAGGGTCCTGGATACCCTACAATACCCTATTGATCTATTTTTTTTAGAATGTGGACCCCATGAAGTAGTAAATCAATGTGCTTCGAAGTGCGTAGATGAGGCAACATGTCAAAATCCGACTCCCATACAAAAACCTGGCACACCTTGCGTACTAATATGTGAAAAAAGATGTGAATGTGACGCGAAAAATGGATGGATTCGGTCTTCACCTAATGGAACTTGTATACAAAAATCAACCTGCAAATCAGAACGTATGTGTGTATAAACCCATTATGATAAGATATTTCAAAGTGGTTCAGGTTTATAATTATATTCCTAATTTTTCAAAAAGGATTGAACAAACCAAAATTGTGCCCTTTGTGGTTGTTGATATCCTGTGATAATTTAATTACATACTTTTTTAGAATGTGGACCCCATGAAATAGTAAATAAATGTGCTTCGAAGTGTGTAGATGAGCCAACATGTCAAAATCCGAATCCTATACAAAAACCAGGAACACCTTGCTTACTAATATGTGTAAAAAGATGTGAATGTGACGCGAAAAATGGATGGATTCGGTCTTCACCTAACGGACCTTGTATACAAAAACCAACCTGCAAATCAGAACGTATGTATATAAACGTATGATGATAAGAGTACAGAGTGGTGTAGGTCCATGATATCTTTTATATATTTTTCAAAGAAAATTAAACCTAAGATTGTGCCTTCTGGTTATCTATTGAATCTGAGGGTGTAGAAATACTGAGGGAAGAATGAGACAAAAATACAAATTTTGCGCGTTGCTGATAAAGAGGCAAAACCAATTTTTAAATTCTCGAATTTAAGAATAGCTACCCAGGAGCACTATTAATCAATTTTTTTTAGAATGCGGACCCCATGAAGTAGTAAATCAATGTGCTTCGAAGTGCGTAGATGAGGCAACATGTCAAAATCCGAATCCTATACAAAAACCTGGCACACCTTGCTTAGACATATGTGTAAAAAGATGTGAATGTGACACGAAAAATGGATGGATTCGATCCTCGCCTAATGGACCTTGTATACAAAAATCAACTTGCAAATCAGAACGTATGTATACAGGGTGTCCCGAAATTAGACGGTCATATTATAATAGCGTAATCTATACCCTAAAATAGGAGTAAAAGTCCATATAAACATAGGACCGAAAACGTTTTGTTTTCGAGATACAGAGTGTTACAAGTAAAGTACTGATGGCACATTTTGTAAATATTTTCTAAAATTTCTGTGTTCACCGGTTTTTCAAAATTAAACAAAAATAAAATTTCTGATTCCACAGGCCTAATAATTATTGTTTATACTTTCGAATAAGAACATCAACTTATCATGAAATTTTGAAATGCTTTTCTCTTGAAAATGGTGCGTCCTAGCGAGATGCAACACAAGTAGCATTATTATAAAGGAAATATTGGTTTTCCAAATTTTGTAGTCAAAAATGTTAAAAACGTTCCACAAAAAAAACTTTTACTCCTATTTTAGGATGTAGATTACGGTGTTAAAATATTACCGTCTAATTTCGGGACACCCTGTATAAACCCATTATGATAAGATATATTAAAGTGGTTCAGGTCTATAATTATATCCTTAATATATTTTTAAAGGAGATTGAACAAACCAGAATTGTGCCTTCTGGGGTTGTTGATATCCTGTGATAATTTATTGACATACTTTTTTAGAATGTGGACCCCATGAAGTAGTAAATCAATGTGCTTCGAAGTGCGTAGATGAGGCAACATGCCAAAATCCGAATCCTATACAAAAGCCAGGCACACCTTGCTTAGCAATATGCGTAAAAAGATGTGAATGTGACGCGAAAAATGGATGGATTCGGTCTTCACCTAACGGACCTTGTATACAAAAATCAACTTGCAAATCAGAACGTATGTATATAAAACCGTTATGATAAGATATATCAAAGTTGTTCAGGTCTATTAATATATCCTTAATATGTTTTTCCTAGAGGATTGAACAAACCAGAATTGTGCCTATAGGGGGTTCTTGATACCCTGTGATAATTTATTGATATACTTTTTTAGAATGTGGACCCAATGAAGTAGTAAATCAATGTGCTTCGAAGTGCGTAGATGAGGCAACATGTCAAAATCCGAATCCCATACAAAAACCTGGCACACCTTGCGTACTAATATGTGTAAAAAGATGTGAATGTGACGCGAAAAATGGATGGATTCGGTCTTCACCTAACGGAACTTGTATACAAAAATCAACTTGCAAATCAGAACGTACGTATATTATAAACGCATTATGATAAGATGTATCAGAGTTATTTAGGTATATTGTATCCTATATTATTTTAAAGATGATCGAACCTAGACTTGTGCCATCTGGGGTTCTTGAACCCCTATGATAACCTATTAATTAATTTTTTTATATCAAAATCCGAATCTAATCTAAAAACCTGGCACACCCTACGTAGAAATGTGTGTAAAAACATGTGAATGTAATGCGAAAAGTAGATGGGTTCGGTCTCCACCTAAAGGATCTCTTATACATTAACCTGCTTGCCGAACAGACAGTATTTGTATGGTATTCCAACAAGAGTTAATAATTCACAAAAAGAAGAGTTTTTAAAGATGATCGGATGTCTTTATACCTTCTGTAAACTGAAGCTCAGCAATGTCGTTTTGCTTAGACCTAACTGTTATGAACGATTTTCAATAAACAAATGGGGTTTATTGTTAGGTTTTAATTTATAAACCCATCAATAAATATTTAAATAAATATAATTTTTATATAAACTGTATAAATACGTAATTGTAAACGCGATGTCATGACAAGTAAAAAAAAAACGTATTTGACAATGTATGTAAAATAATAATTATATTGCTGAGCAACCGAGATTGACAATGAGGTGAGTTTAGTCCTTCATCAGGGCTGCCACGTTAAGCAAGGATATCTAAAGGGTGACAGTACCAATAAAAACTCCCAGGCCGGATATTTTGGTGAGTATTGGATATTTTGATTCTGTAAAAGCTAGTTCACAGAGCACTTAGAGAGCTTCAGTTTTAGATATAAATTGATTTTAAATAGATCATTATATAGATGGCGCTGCGATCAATAATTTTTTTTTTTCGATGGAAGGATCTGTCTTGTGTAGCGCATGTGGTAAAAAAATGCATTTTTAAGCAGATTTTGTTCCATATACTAATTCGATAAATCTAGTCATTTTTGATATACAGAGTGGGTCACTCAAAACAGTTTTATCCTGTTTATCAGCATTATTCATTGGATTTTAAGAAAATGCTAAAACAGGTCAATTTTTATTCCAAATTAAAAACATTTTTAAAATACAACCATCTGTCACGTGTCAACCCCCTCCCTTGCACTTTTCCACTACCGTAATTTTAAATAGGTAATGTACCATGTATGGCACATCATTGAAAAGGTAATTTAGTGGTGGATTCAGAAATATTTTTGTACATTGCGTTACTTAAATTTTATCGCCATCTAGCGGGGTAAAAAACTACGTATTATAGAGTGTGACACAACAATGTGTAGTATATCAATAAAAAGGTAATTTTATGGGGAATTTAAAAATATGACTGTTCGATACTTTTAATTGTATTGCCCTCTATCGGGATCAAAAAAACTGTACGAATTATAAAGTGTGACACCTTATTTGAAAGCAAATTTAGATAATAATTCAATGCACTACATAACATTATTTTAAATATCCTCCATATTGCACTTGCAATATTTTGAAAATTAGTCATGTATTATTTTAAACATTATTGCAAACTTTATTTTGTTGCAAGTGCAATATGGAAATATTTATATTATTGTTATGTGGTGCATTGAATAAGTAATTAAATTAGCTTTCAAATGAAGTATTACAGGTTTTTATCCCGATAGAGGGCGCTAAAATTAAAAGTATCGCAATCAACAGTCATATTTCTGACTTCCCCATAAAATAACCGTTTCAATGATGTGCCGTACATGGTACATTCCTTATTTAAAATTAAGGGGTTGGAGGTTGACACATGACAGATGTATTGTGAAAATGTGTTCAGTTTGGAATAAAAATCGACCTATTTTAGCATTTTCTAAAAATCCAATGATTAATGCCGAAAAACAGGATGAAACTGTTTTTAGTGACTCACTCTGTATATCAAAAATGGCTAGATTTATCGAATTAGTCTATGGAACGAAATCTGTTTAAAAATGCATTTTTCACCAGATGTGCTATATAAGAAAGATCCTCCCATCAAAAAAAAAAATATATGTATATTAAGCGCAGCGCCATCTACATATCAACATATTTGAAATTAATTTATCTTTTAGAATAAAGCTCTCTTAGCGCTCTATGAACTGGTTTTTACAGAATAAAAATATCTTCACTACCAAAACATCCGGCCTAGGAGTTTTTATTGGTACACCCTGTATATATGATGTGTCGCGATATGTTAAGGAGGAAGGTATGTAGTGTATCTAAGTCACTTCAATACATTCCTCCTACTTTTATTAAAGTAGTGAGTTCTGAAAAAGACCAAATTGGGATATATTGCGTTTTAGCATTATTAATTATTAGGTATCCGATAGGTTCTTTGTACTCAAAGAATACTATCGTTATACCATTTTTGCAACTTTTGTTGTTTTCTACCAGGACGTCTCGTTCTCTCGTTGTTTGAAAACCAGTCTCAATATTATCAGTTAAACGATCTGGACTTCTGATGTTTTAAAATATGCATATTTGATTATAAATGAGAAATAAGAAAGGTTGAAGTTTCACCTAACATTAATTATATTTTTCAGAACTTCTGACAAACTTTGTGGAATCCCAATACCTTACTAAAGGTTATTGATCTAATATTGGTTTGGTTCTTATTTTTAGAATGTGGACCCAATGAAATAGTAAACGAATGTGCATCAAAGTGCGTAGGTGAACCCACATGTCAAATCCCGAATCCTACACAAGAACCTGGAACCGCTTGCATAACGTTGTGTGTAAAAAGATGTGAATGTGACGCAAAAAATGGTTGGATACGAGCTACTTCTAAGGGTGTGTGCATTAAAAAAGATGCTTGTCCATCTGGAGGTATGTTTTATCACATATTTAAACATTTTCAACAAATTAAACTTACGCAATAAATACAATGAATACACCATATAAAAAAAGCAGCAGGTTTAGGAAACATTTTGCAGGACCTCGTTGAATATGGATCTCAAAATATGTGGAATAAGAGATTTTCTACAAAAATGCTTGAATGGGCGTAGAATGCAGAGGTCCATAATGAATAGCAAATTGGGTAATACACAAAACATTATGCACGAGAAAATGTAAACAATTTTCAAGTAATCGCTGAAGATAATAACTTAAGGATTATATTTCAGATTTCTAAGAAATCTAAGAATGATGGAAATTGACAAGAATGAATATAGTTCGTTAATGTTTATAATATAAATAAAAAGGTCCTAAAAACATAATAGGTGTTATAAATTTACGAGTCATGTTATAAGTCATCGACACGTTCCCACAGAAGTACTAGACTAACAATGGTGCCAGACCTTGGTTCCAAACGAAAAAAATTTAAATAAATAGTAAAAAAACTTTTTAATTTGGTGAAAACAATAATTAAATAGTTGAATTATAAAAATAATCCGATTTAAACATTTAAAATATTTAATATAAATATGTATCTATTGAAAGTTTAAATAATTAATATCATAAATTGAACCTTAATGCACATAAAGGAGCATAGGTACACCGGTATTTCGCAAAACAGTTCTAAAGACACTTGGCATGGCCCTACCAACTTTCCTAATTTGGGACTTAATCTGCATGCTCCAGGAAAAACGAAGCTTCTTGGTAGTCCGTCCATCAGTGAACAGTTTTAAATAAGTAGTTCATAATTTCACCGATAGGTTCTTTTAGAGGATTTTCTAATTTTGTTTACTATAGTCCTGCGAGCTGTGATATAATACTACTATGTTAAAATTGTAATTCAATAATTGGGATGTTTCCTCTATGTTTCCCAGTCACCAATGAAGGTACTTAAGTCACTTGGTAAATTAATGAAATATTTTTTTTCAGTATGTCCAAAGCATGAAAAGCAGGGATGTGCTCCCTGTTGTCCTGATCCAACCTGCCAGAACAGGGAACCTAGCTGCCCTGATAATATGAAATGCCCAAAGATATGTCGTTTAACGTGTAGATGTAAAAAGCGATTTATCAGAGATATTTCAACTGGAAAGTGTGTACCAAAAGGACGGTGTCCAAAAACAAAATGTTAAAATATTATTTACACCATAAATATTACTTAAGTATACTTTTTTAAATAATTCCGTAATCATGTAATATTTTCTTTTTTTTTTTATTATTAAATTTTTTTATTATTGTGGGATCCAAGCTACGCTACTGATTATTGAAGTGGATGACAGGGGGATGAAAGTGGTAATTAAGACGTTATTTTTGTATTTGAAATTTCATATTAAAAGTTATTATTAAAGACGTTTAGACTTTTTATCAAGCCACACCAGTGAATTTCCTACAAAATTGGGGGCTCGTCCGGGATAGAGACGATGAAAGAGATGATGATAAAGACGATAAGGAGTGTATGAGTTTACGACGTAATACAATTATTACTATGAGCAAACGTTAAAGACGAAAGACGAACGACTTAAGACAAAGGAATTTCAAATACAAAAGCGAACAAGACGACGAAGAAAGACGTAAAAGAAGCCCAAGGACTAAAGACGAGGATTAAAAAACGCCCAGGACGTAAGACGGGATTCATTTAAAAACCAGTGAAGAAATAATAGGTACCATTATCCAAAGACGAAAGAAGACGTAACACTATCAAAAGACGAAAGAAGACGTTGCAAATACTAAGAGAGTTAAACAGATTTCGATTAGTTTTTGGCCAAAGGAAGTACGACGGAACTTAAAAAAAAAACTTATATTAACAAAACTTTGTCTTTAAAGAACGTTTAATGTATTTTGTGTTAATTAAATTAACTCTGTTTTTGCCTATGAACTCAGACGCATACTTTTTCTTCGTGATTTTGCGGTCTAATTTAGTGACTTTTATTCTGACAACGGATTTCGATTTTGAAAAACTTTTGATTATCCGTATTTGATTTTTACAGATTTAAAAGACTGATATTTGTGTCTTAATATACTTTTCGTATCTCAAACAGATCTGTTAACTTTATGAACTGAAATACCGAAAAAACAGAGAAGAGATGAAAATATATCTATGACGTTGTTATAAATTTTCGAATATTTAATTTTATGCTGCATGTCCTTTTGTACATGTTATTTATTGGCGATATCTATTAGTGGCGTTGGACTTTTATTCCCTTATTTTCTTTCAGAATCTTTTATCCGTTTAAAGGACTCTTAATTTTTCTGCTATTTTTTCATTTTGACGTTTTATTTTAAAATGACTCTGACTTTAGGAGATATTGCTGGAATTTGCAGTAATATTAGATCTGCACCTGTTAATGTTATAAAAAAGTTTCATAAACTTGTTTTTGGCGGTGAGGGCGATAGAGGAAATAGGAAAAGATTACGAGAATTTTCCGGATTTGGTTTTGATAGAAATACTAAGGAATATGACGCAAAGTTAGACGAAATTAAGAAACATTTTTCCGTTAGTGATCTAGCTTCTTTTGCAAACATCTTACAAATAGATTATGACGTTGAAACTAAAGACTTGATAAGTAATATTTGTAATGGTTTGACAAACTTAGAATTTCTACAAGGAAATAAGAACCAAGATGATGACAAATCTGAAGACGATTATTTTTCAGATAGAGAAGACGCAGAAACAGCGCATTCTACGCATAATGTTCCGCAATTTCCTATTAGTTTCAAAGATGTAGAAGACTCGATACAAACTTTCGACGGTTCTGGTTCATATGCGGTAGAAAAATGGATTTCTGATCTAGAAGATATGTCTGAACTTATGAGATGGAGTGAGTTACATCTTTTCATTTTTGCCAAAAAGTCATTAAGAGGACTAGCTAAGTTGTTTATTCAAAGTGAAAAAGGAATAAAATCTTGGAAAACATTAAAAAGAGTTATTCAAGCTGAATATTCGTCTAAAGTAAATAGTGCTCAGCTACATAAATTATTGACAGAAAGAAAAATGAGAAAAGACGAAGACGTACATGAATATTTTCTAAAAATGAAGGAATTATCAAATCGAGGTGATATTGAGACGGAAGCACTCATACAATATGTTATCGATGGTATCCACGATGACGATCGAAACAAAATTATTTTATAATCGAAAAATAGAAAAAAAATCGAAAAAAATCGGAAAATGGAAAAAAATCGGAAAATCGAAAAAAAAAAAAAAACGAAAAATCGCAAAAAAAAACAAAAAATCGAAAAAAAATCGAAAAATAAAAAAAAAAATCGAAAAATCGAAAAAAAAATCGAAAAATCGAAAAAAAAATCGAAAAAATCGAAAAATCGAAAAAAAATCGAAAAAATCGAAAAAATCGAAAAAAAATCGAAAAATCGATAAAAACGAAAAATCGAAAAGTCGAAAAGTCGAAAAAACAACAGTTAGTTACCTATATTTAATAAAAACTTTCCATTCTACACTTAACTTTTATTTAATAAAGAAACCATAATGGTCGTGGACAAAGTATAGTATTAGACTCGCAATTTATGGCCATTATTCACTCGGGTAACTTACCCTGCGTGAATAATGGCTACCATAAATTGCTCGTTTAATAATATACTATTTTACATCCTATTTCACAAAAAGCTTTTCAACACTTGTAACATGCTAGGCAATATTTAAATTTGAAAAGTAATAAATCATATTCAATAATGATATACATTGGATTCAAAAATATGTTAAAGTAAAGAAAACTGATTTTTGTAATATTGTTGAGTTATTGCTCCGCTGACAATATCAAGGTATAAATGGGTGATTCTCGTGTAACTGCGATTTTTACAATTTAAATTTTTCTAACATTAAAAATGTTTTAAAACGTTTGTTCTGCGCGTTTTTATTTTCTATTTATTCACAAAACTAAGCCTGTGAACTGGTTTTACTACAGCTACAACACACCGAAAACTGTGACAAAATTTCAAAAGTTTAATGCCACGGTACTGACATTATTTCCACGGTACTGACATATAAATGATTATTTTTTTTTACTAATCGAAAGATTGGTATAAAATTGCAATAAAATTCAATGCAGTATGCATTAGATTGTAGTTATAAGAGGTAGATTTTATATTAAAAAATTAATTTTGATAGAAATTTATATATTTAATTTTAAAAATAAGAATCGGACATGCCACGGTACTGACATTTCGAGTATATTTAGGTGCAGCTTAAAAAAAAGGTTTATGATCTAATTCATAATGTCAGTTGTAAAATACCACTAAATTTACAATATTAATAACTTTTTGATTAGGAAAACTTATGCTAAACGATAAATAAAATACTGGACATAAAAAATCACAGTTATGCAAGAATCGCCCAAATAGGCATTTTGGTTTAATCCTAGAAGACACAATTTTAAAGTTATTACCATAATTTTTATTATTACCAACTTTTAATAGAGAATTAACATTATCAAACATGCATTATTTTTTAAACAATTAGGTACTATTAAGTTGTAGTAAATCAATTCCTTAACAAAATCAAAAAATAGTCTTGAAACTGGACGTAATATAAAGTCATAATTATTAAATCAGCAAAGTAAATTTGGGTATAAAAATGATTGAAAAATAAGACTACAATATCCTTTCTCAAGACGTTCCAAGTTCATACCGAGGGATAGGCGATATTGTCTTCATCGTCTACCTAGTATTGAAAATTGGACAGATATGGAATAAAGGGTAGATCTGAAATTTAGTATTGGTCGACGGTACAAAGTGGGAATATTTATTACATGAGATAATTTTGTTTTAAATATAAAATTTGCAATATTTCAGTATATTTAAAAAAGTGTTTGATTAGAAAGAGATAGGTTAAAGCATTATATTTACGTATATATTTTCTAAAATAATTCATTGTCCCAAGAATATCAACTAAGCTACTAAAATAATAAAATCTATAAATCAGTTTTTTAAGTAATATATTTAACAAATGTTTCACAATATATTAATTTACATGTTTTCTGACTCATCTGTGAGTATTTAGTTTTCCTTACAAATTTTTCTTGATTTTGTTGCTGTTGCTGTTGTAGTGATATTTTTTTGCAAATAGATGTCTTCTTTTTAACTTGAAATAAATAAAGAAAGCAGATGACTTAATTTTTATTCTATACAAATATATAAAATATATTAAATTACATTATTTAACGTATAATAATATTTTGCAATTTTTATAATACTTACGAATGCTTTTATTCGTAATTTACGCTATAAGTTCAAGAGAATGAAATTTAAAATTATTTCGGTCTGTACTGGTTGAAACTCAAAAAGATCTTATATAATTAATATTTTATAAATTAACTGAGTCAACAGAACGGTTGTGTTTTATTACTCTCCGCCTCTAATTGATCCGCATTTTATGATGCTGCCGTTGAATAATGTAATCATATATTTGTTGTTGTCAACTTTGAGATATATTACATGATACGAGTTCGCGCATGACGTATTTTGGTGTGGAATATGGATGATTGGCAATGAGCTGATTAAAATTAATGTTCACTTGCTGTTTTCGATCACCACAACATGTCGCCATGATGTAGTATTAATCGGCGTAATATATTGTTCTTTTTTACTTTCCTATCTGTATACAGATATAAGGAATGTATAGGAATCATTATTTTTTTCGACCTCGAGTTTTCGACGGATTTTTACGTTTTGAGGTCCCCTGAATCCGTTTTGACTATTTTCGCGATTATGTGTGTGTGTGTGTGTGTGTGTGTGTGTGTGTGTGTGTGTGTGTGTGTGTGTGTGTGTGTGTGTGTGTGTGTATGTGTGAGCGTGAGCGTGTGCGTGTGCGTGTGCGTGTGCGTGTGCGTGTGCGTGTGCGTGTGCGTGTGTGCGTGTGTGCGTGTGTGTGTGTGTGTGTCTGTGTGTGTGTGTGTCTGTGTGTGTGTGTGTGTGTGTGTGTGTGTGTGTGAGTGTGTGTGTATGTGTGTGTGTGTGTGTCTGTGTGTCGCATAACTCATGAACCGATACACAGAAAAACACCAAATTTCAAACTTAAGCTTTTTTCTAACGTCCAATGTGCTGATTAGATTTTGGGCAGTGTCGGAACATCTGGGAGGGTACTTTATAGGTGGTTATTTTTATTATTTATGGAATATAT